TATTTCTTATTATAAATTGTTTAAATTGAATTAAAATTAAAGTTAATATAATAATAATAATAATAATAATAATAATAATAATAATTATTTCCATTGACTTTTAACAAAAGTATCGGATAATGTCAACAAGTAAAAAAAAATACATTAGAACACTAAAATACAATCTTTAAAAACAGATACGTACAAACACACAAAGTATATTACAATCAAAGTATTCTTCGATAGAATAAAAAACGTTCTTATTCAAAATGAGGTTCAATTTTTGATTAAATAAATGGACAGGCAATATCTGTCTGACGGACAAAGGCAACTTATATAGCTTTATTGGTAAAATCATAGGGCTGTTAGCTACTTTGACTAACTTATGACTTGGCACCTGCAAATTAAGATTAGCTCTAAAATTGTAATCTTCATCAATTCTGGTCATGCAATAATTTGATTTATGTAAATTATGCTATTTAATACAAAGAGAGAGGGAAACGTTAAAATATTTAATTTTGGGAATAGGGTTCTACAAGAGTGACCACGAGACTTCCCCAACATTTTTCGAACAATACGTTTTTGTTGGACAAATCCTTCACTAGCTCTGGAAGAGTTTCCCCAGCATATAATAGCGTAAGATAAGCAAGATCGAACATATCCGAAATAATACCATAGTAAAAGTAACAAAAATAACAAAAGTATGCATAGCCATTTTGTTTAATACGTAGTCAATTTGGTCTGTCCAGAACAAATTGCTATCTATGAACAAACCCAAATACTTAACAACGTTAGTCTGATTAATCGATTTATCCTGCATTCTAACCAATAAGCTCTTGTTCAAATCCCTAAGCGAAAACAACATCATCTCAGTCTTTGTCAGGTTCAAACAAATACCGTTACGCTCACAATATCGGGTCATACCACTTACTGCCCTAGTGGCCAAGAACGTGAGATCTTCCAGACTCCTAGATGACACTGCCACAACAGTATCATCTGCATATAAGGAAACATAATTGTCTGGGAAAGAATCAGATATATCATTAATAAATATTATAAATAATAAATGTCCCAGTATGCTTCCCTCTGGGACACCGCTGGTAAGTTCTTTAGATGAGGATCTAATCACAGAAGTATCACTTCTAAGCACAACTCTGTGTTCACGACCCTTCAAAAACGACTCAATCCAGACCCCGTATACCGCAATTATTTAACTTATTCAACAACAAATTAATATCAAGCACATCAAAAGCTCGCTTGAAGTCAAAGAACATACATAATGTTTTATTGTTCCGAGGCTGAGGGAAATACACCTTCTAAAAAAGACAGATTAATCAAAAATGTAAGCGGTTCAACTATAAAATCTGTATCACGTTTTATTAATGAACAGGGTATTTCATCGTGCCCAGCTGACGAAATAGTGCATCGAAGTTCAACACCCATGAAAGGTGTTAAGAATAGACTTCGACTTGAGGTTTTTTATTAGTTGTTTGTTTTGTTTTTATATTATTTATTATTTCTCTAACGGAATTCACAAAAAAGTCATGAAATTTTTCAGAGATCGCGTGTAAATCTACATACTCGCTACCATCATCATCACTGAAGTAATCTAGAAACTTTTTATGTTTAGATAGGTTACTTTCATTTTTTATAATCGACCACGCCGTTTGAAATTTGTTAACAAAGGTTGTAAGAAGTTTATTGTAAAAACTTTTTTTAGCATTCTTAAGTTGTTTTTCATGGTACTTTTTTATAATTCTATGTTTGGTTAAAATTTCATTACTGTTGGTATATTTAAAATATTTGTGCAAGTCTCTAAGTAACTCACCCAGTTCCCTAATTTCAACGGAAAGCCACCCTTTTTTGGCTATGTATATGTATTATACTTGAAACTTTAATTTCAATTAAATTTAAACCTTATTTCTATTTGGAAGTGTCCAAATTCGTAAATTATGTTTTATTACGCAATGGTAAATAAGGTAAATAAATTTAGAATAGTATATTATGCAACAAGTGTGATAAACGGCATTTGAGTCACGAGTTTATTTAGCAGGAGCGGAGTGAGTATGTTTAATGAACGAGTGATTTAAAAAGTTTACCAAACGTGTTGCATACTGTACATTTTCTACGACCGTTGGTTTTTGGGTACATTTTTTTAAAACAACACGAATACATTCACTTCACACACATTATTACTTATTATTATTATTATTAATTAATTAATTATACTAATATAATTTTATATTTTTACATTCGTATTATACTGTCTATATCCAACACTTGTAACTCAATGCTTATAGAAATAAAACTATTTTTATCTTTATCTAAATTTTACATAGCGTTCGCATGAACTTTAGTGGTTTTTACAGTTTTTATATGCAATGCTGCCATGGCCAATTGAACTATTTTCAAATATCCATGTCTCATCAGTATAAACAAACCAAAATTGAAGGGCTTTTTTTTGCTTTTACGACCTTAAAAATGTAATCCTCTTAAAAGCTTTTTTATCCAATAACAGTCTTTTTCTTTAAATAAACTACTTAATGATCAATTGTCAAAGTTAAATAAACAACATATGACATATCCAATAATACATCTCACTCTGTCTAACGTACACAGTTAAAAAGATACAACAATAGCAGAACAGATCGAAACGATAAACGAATAGGTTTAATGGCAACGAGTTTATCCATGTCTCATCAGTATAAACAAAACAAAATTGAAAGGCTTTTTCTTGCTTGTACGATCTTAAAAATTTAATCCTCTAAAAAGCTCTAAGTGTGCACGGCATTTCAGTCACAAGTTTATTAATAATAAACGAGGGAATTAAACAGTTTACCAAACGTGTTGCATACTATACTTTTTCTACGACTGTTAGCTTTTGGGTACATTTTTGCACAACATGAATACATTCATGACCGTCAGAATTGACCAACGTCAAAATTTAAGCCGTGCGGTAAAATCTTCGAAAACATCCGATTGGTCCCAAACCCGTGCGATAATATTCCGTAAATGTCCGAAATGGTTCGGTTCTGTGGGACAAGAAACTCACGTGGTAAAGTGACACTTTAGGTATTTGACAGAAAGGAGTAGAAAATAGTGCAAATGGCATTTGAGTCACGAGTTTCTTTAACACTAGCGGAGCCAGTGTTTAATAAATGAGTGACTTAAAAAGTTTACCAAATATGTTGCATACTATACTTTTTCTACTCCCGTCTGTAAAATACTTAATTACACACCGATCTAGCGTGCGGCAAACGTCACTTTACCACGTCAGTTTCGTTCCCCACGGATCCAAGCGACTTCGGACATTTCCGAGATTCTACCGCACGGGTTTGGGAGCAATCGGATGTTTTCGGAGATTTTACGGCAGTTTTAATTTTGAAATTTGTCAACTCTGACGGTCATGTCAGTGAACGTATTTGTGTTGTTTTTGCACCAAAAACTAATATACAGAAAAATGTTATGCGATATATCTAACAATTTAAATACTACGTGCTATAAGCTGCAATTAAAATCTAGTGGACTACTCGGTAAGTAAAGTGACATTTTTAATTCAAGTTTCCCACAGAAATTGCATTGCAACCAAGACAACTGTTGAGCAAATGAAATATTATACACAAATTAACAAATTGATATTGAATGAAAGTAAAACTAAGATAATCACCTTTTCAACACAGGACTTAAATGAGAGTTTATTAGTACGCTTTAATGAAAGCACCATCCAACAGAAAAGTGTTGTAAAATTCGTCGGAGTTTATGTAGATTCGAGACTCTCCTGGCTCGAACAGGTGGACCATATTTTCAAAAAACTTTCTGTTTACTGCTTTGTCATATGGAGGCTCCGCCATCAGGTTTCTTCCCTTTGTTAAAAATGTACTATTTTTCCAATGTCTATTCCTGTCTCAACTACGCCTTGGTTTGTTGGGGTTCTCCACATGTGGAGCAAGTCTTTAGGATGCAGAAACGCATTTTGCGGACTATACTGTTTAACTGTGGAATTTTTCATGTAGAGACCTATTTCCACAACACTCTTTATTGACACTTCCTAATATGTACATACCAAATTGTGCCATGTATGTAAAAAGAAACTCAGACATTCAGTACAGTTTAAGACCGAATATTAACATAAAAATACCTACACATCGACCGTCTCTTACATCAAATAGTCCCTTTGTTTTGACCGTAAAAATTTATAATAAATTGCCTATCGAACTGAAGGAGATCATTAGTCAAACAAAATTCAAATGCACTCCTAAAGACAAAATACTACGCCTCGCCTATTACAGTATTAAGGATTTTCTTTCTTGTAATATCTTTTATATGTATTCATTGTTTTTGTTTATATATTTGTTATTTATCTAACATTGATACTTATTATTATTATTAATTAATTATACTAAGATAATTTTATATTTATACATTCGTATTATTATTAACACTTGTAACTCAAGTCATATAAAAATAAAACTATTTTTATCTTTATCTAAATTTTACATACCGTTCGCTCCCAATTCCCTGGGGTATTATCCCGGAAATGTACGAAGCGCCTCGGATCCCTTGGGAAACGAAACTGACGTGGTAAAATGACACTATCCGCACGCTAGATCGGTGTATAATTAGGTATTTCCCACATAACAATTGTATGTTCTGCTTTAGAAAAAGAAAATATACTTACAATGTCCCTTATTTCAATTGCCCAGTTCTTTAGAATATGCTAAGTACATGTTACTGACCCCAACTTCATATTCCAGTTATCTACTCGGTATATGCTGCAGAATGTATGTAGTACATTCTTAGCATATATTTATTATATAGTCTAAACATGTTGCTAGTATAAGCCACTATAAAGTACATAGTAAATTCCAGGTATTTCACTGGAATGTGCATAAGGGTAATTGTCTTCTAGTGTTGTTACATTGCATTTTTTGTCAAAGAAAAAAAAAGCTTCTAGAAACAAAACTTTATTTAAGTGAAATTAATTAAACAAATTTTCCAGAAAATAAATATCAATTCTATAACCAATTTGTAAGTATATTTTTTTCCTTTCTTGAAATTCTCTCTTTAGCTTTAACAAGCCAGTATTTTATAATATCAATTATATCATTCTCAGCTGCCTCCCTTCTTGCAATTTGATTGAATCTAAAAAAAAATAATATTACTAATATTATTTTCAATAAAATGCAAGTTTGTAATTTCTTACATATAAATACAGCAACATATAGGAATGAGTAAAAATGAACAAATTAATTCAGTTTAATTAAATTAAACAATTGCTTGATTTTTTGGTACCTTTATGACACAAATTAGTTTCTATTTAAGCACATACATACAACACTCTCAGTTTAAATTGAATTCAAATTACGAAAAATAACATAAGTTACCTAAAAGGCCAGTTTCAAATTTTTAAATGCTTTCTTGCTTTTGGCCCCCTCACACGAAAATTGAATAGCAATTTGGTTTGTCAATGTTCTATACATAACTTTTCTCAATTTTTGGTCAACAGAATTTCCTCCAATTCTTGCTAATTCAGACACCTAAAAATAGTAAGTTATTCTACTATGTGATGAAGGTGTTGAGAAGTTGGTTCATTACTTCCGCAGTGGTACATTATTATGATTCCTATATTTAATTTTAACAGCTAACCATGACTTGCCTATTCTTGTCATCATCCAACCTATGTTCCATATCCATTAGTTCACCTTCATCCTTAATAGGAATTTTTTGATACAATTTTTTTACATTATGTTCCAATGAATATGATTGTACATCAGCTTCAAATTGTCGTGTCTTTATCAAACTTCCTATGTTGTCAATTAAGGTATTAATTTTCAAATTTATTTGACTCACTTCATCATCATTATTTTTTTAAAATCTAAAACAAAAAACAATGTTGCAGTGTAGGATCACTCTAAAGGTAAATTAAGGTGATTTATTAAAAAGGTGTTTATATTATTACAGCAAATGATATTCTTTGAAAGAATTCGACAAGTGTTTAAATTTACACCTACCTTTATTTTTTAGTGTTTTAGATAAATCAAAATTGAAGGGGTTGGAACCATAAAAGTCTAAGTGACATACAAGTTAAATATAGTGTTTGTTTGATAGCAAAGAGATGCAAGTGACTCTGGGACGTGGTAAACAGCATACTTTTTCTATATATACCCTAGAAGACTTTACTTACTTGAAAATGTCAATTCCAAACAAGCACAAACACTTAAAATGAAATTCGGCGCGACAAAACTGAGGTTATGTCCATAATAAAACTATTATCATTATGTTGGTTAGTTGTTATGCCTCAACCTACATAGATAAAAGATGGTTTGTTAAATTTCTTTGAATGAGGGATAGCGATAAAGGCGCAGATTTTATAGTGGTAAAACGATTGGTATATTACAGTCTGTTAAGTTAAATATGTTACATTTTCACAACATTTTAAATTTAATTCTCTTAAAATGAATACTTGAAATTTGAATTATGGTTCATTTCGATCATTGTCGAAAGAAGCTCGACAGTACTTGATTATCCTCTCCCAAATGCATTTTCTCCCAAGAACACATCACGTGACACTTTTTTCGTTTGTAAAAAATTAAATATGCTAAAAATCTATTCTAAGGAATATTCTAAGTAGAACATTTGGAAATATTCTTAAAAGTATATTCATAGCGCATACTTTAAAGTATAAATTTAAAATATTCTTAAAGGTATATACAGGGCACATACTTTAAAGAATATTCTTTTCTCGTATATTAAAAGAATGTATTTCGCTGTTCCGGAAAAATATTTTAGCGGTATATACGCAGTATATGTAACGTATAATGATGATATGTGGGATTACAGAAGGAAGTAGAAAAACGATTTTAATATCCAATAACATGAAAAGAATGATTCACACCAACTAATAGACTTTAGAGTTTACTACCCAATAAAGCAAATAATACCCAGCAGATTAAGTGACTTTAAACACAAATAACAAGCATCGGAGTAATAAATAATGATAATAATGTAATTGCAATACAAAATTAAACGTCAGAAGTATATTATGTTACAAGGGTTATAGCACCAACTACCTACTTGTGTATTATGTATATTAAGAGACGCTTTGAGCGAGAAGATTGACGCGCGACGCAAGAGCAGCAGTGTCACTTTTGTAATTTTTTCAACAATTTGTATAGTTTCTTTTCGGTATACTCAATTTTTAGTTATTTTTGCTGAAATCCCAACTATAGGTGTGGTGGTAAATGACGGTGCAGTCCCTATACCAGAGTCCAACTCAACTTTACTTTGCGTAGGCGTTTTGCCTTTCAAAAACAATAGTATATTTTATAACAGTAACTATTGCCGCCATCTTCAGGGTGAGGTCAGAAACTTTTTAAGTGAGCCTCATATTTGGAAGAATATAATTATGAAATTTGACGTTTATATTTACAGAAACAAATTTTTAACCATCCTGATGCAATTAAATCCCCTTTTACATCTAATATTATCTTACCCCGTACATACAAATATAGAACATTAAGGTTAGCGGATAATAAGCAAGACCAATCTACCTGTTTTTTAGACTTTATCTTCAATTTCACAAAGCAAAGAGGTTCTGTAATCCCTATTGGAATCCCTAAGTTCATTAATATTCAAGGTAGATCTAAAATCTTTCCCCAGCGGGAAAAAAGCTTTATTCAAAAGTCATATTAAGTAGGAAAACATTTTTTTTAGTTATTTGGTAATTTTTAACCAGCGCCAGAATACCGTGATCAGTTTGCCGGTTTTCAGTTTGCATATTTAGATTTGGCCCCTGTCATCAAGACCCTCCATAGTTACTCTAAAGTTATTTTATATTCATTAGAACTGTCAAAAAAAAATAACCTCACTATTTTTGAAATTAAAATTGTGGAAATGCATAGTGGCAAACATTACAAGGTGCAAATAGCAGAGTAGAAATCACATAAAACTATTAGGTACAATCTAGATCAAGATATATAAGAAACCATTTGTGACCTGTGATGCACTTGTAAAGAAATATGTAAACAAAACAGCTAATTCTGCAAAAAGACTGTCATGACTATATACAAAAATTGTACCACAAAAAGATATGGAAAAAGTTTATGCCACAGCAGCCGCCACTTCTACAGATCCCATAAATATACAAAATTATTTTCAAGAATATAAAGCCATATGCCCTTTATCAAACTCCAATGTCGAAGGTGCTGAAGAAATAAAAGATTTATTAGGAAATGAATTTGACTTAGATTTAAGTAAAGAAAAAATCGCTTCATTGGAAGAACTTTGCAGGTCAGAATTCTGTAATGAAATTATTTCTTGCAATATTTAATTTTAGATTTGTGTTGTATTTATATATTATTTAAAATTGTAGTATTCACAAGTTGAAGTTATGTTCTGAACCAAAGGATTTACCTTTAGATAATATGCCTCAAAAAAATTACATTCCAGTTACCTATCCTATAACAAAAGAGGCCAAAATTTTGGAGACTGTAAAATGCAAAGAAGGATTTAATGTACTAAAAAATAATTTCCTACTTGATTTTACAACCAGGCCCAACAAATCAAATGTTAACAACAAAATGGTAAGTTTTCTTTCTGGTTTTAATTTATAATAATTAATAATTCGATTTTAAGATAACCACACCTCAAGATATTGATCCTGGATCAACTTTTATTTACAACATCTTGGTCTATCAGCCATTTAGCACCATGACAGGACAAAAACTTAGTATAGAAAATCTCAGGATCATGTATGAAATTGAAGCAATTGGATTAAACACATTATTGGATATAGCAAATGCCATAAAATGCATCTCCGACTTGTTCTGTTTTAAAGAGGTAGAAAATACAGAAGCAGATTTATCAAAATTAGTAAATGCAAAGGTTTGACAAGACAATATAATTTTTAAGTTTTGCATCCAAATATTATTTTTAGGAAATTTATCCTTCAAGGTGTTTTTTTATTGAAAATGTTTTTTATAATGATCCTCCACACGGAAATGCCTCAGTGTATTCCTCTGTTGTTATAAAATGGGCTAAAGAAAAACATATAGGAGACTTCCATGATGAAACAATGGATGTGAGTAAAATTTATCCTTTTAGTGTGTTTATCAACCGAAAATATCTATTAAAATGTGTAATTTTTTAGACACCCTTAAATAACCTTAAACCAAGATTAGGCTTTGGTTATGTTTACATCCATCAAGGCAATTGCGAACATATCATTACATTTTCAGATGCTCGCATGATACAAAACAATGACAGTTTAATATCCTCTGAGTAAGTACTGTGCCATATACAAGTATCAAAGGAACTTCTCACAAATGTATTTATTAGGTATCCAAAAATAATTTCGGCTAAACAGCATGCAAATCATTTATGCTTTATTTGTCAGTATAGTCATTCCTCTTGGATGGTTATGGACAGTGATCGTTTACCAATTAGAAATGCATTTTTTTGTACCAAATGCTGCAAGTCATATATGTTTGTTAATGGAAAGAAGCTTGGTAGTTTCAGATTGTATCCTTATTATGACAGTGAAGTACTGGCAAGATATTCAGTGGAAGACGAAATAAAGTGAAAACAAAGCAGCAATACAATAAAAAATTGAATAAATACTAAAATATTTTATTTACTCAAACACCAGGTTGATAATGGCATGAATTAAACTGCAATAAATAATGAGATTGGACAATGATCTGAGCCCAATATTTCAGATCTGACTACAACATCGCAAACGCTGTCCTTTAGCTTTTTGGATAAAATAAAATAATCAAGTCTCCTAAAAAAAAAAGTTTACCAAAGGATACTTGGACAGAGACCACTAACTTACCAGCCAACATTTTTAGTTCTTGACTTAGACATGTATGACCAAAAAGTATAAACATCTTTCTTGTCTGGATACAACATTCTAAATGAATCAAAATAGCCATCTTCTAAAAATTCTGTCATGCCATCCCGTTCTTCCTGGGTAAACCCGGCATTTTTTTTGTTAGTTTTTGGATTGGCCAAATCAATCTCGTTATGTGCGACATTCATATCCCCGCAAATAATTATTGGTTTCTTCTCCTCCAATTCTTTTATAAAACTTTTAAATATTTTATTCCACTCCAGTCTTTTTGATAATGTGACCAAGCCGCGACCTAAAACTCAATTTTTAGGGTACATAGGCACATGTTTAAAAATGGTTATTTACATGTTAAATCATGTCAAAAAATGATATTTTGAATATTAGATGTGCTTACCTGCATTTGGGACATAAACACATATCAAAAAAAATGTGTCATATTCTAATGTAATACAACGACCTTCATTATCATGATCAGCATGATCAATTCCATAAATTACATTGATTGGTTCAATTTTAGTGTAAACAGCTACTCCAGCATATCCCTCTTTTTTACTAGAACACCAGTAGGCCTTATATCCTTCAATATCTTTTACTTCATTCGGTAATTTTTCATTGCTACATTTTGTTTCTTGCAAACATAGAATATCGGGATTGTCATATTTAACAATTTTTAATCCATCTTTTTTGAGCCAAGCTCTTATTCCGTCAACATTCCAGGAAGTAACTTTTAAATTAGGTTTCTTACCTTTTGCGTTTTTTTGAGAACATAAAAAATTGATTTCTTCCCATTTAGTTATTGTATCATTCAATGGGGTTTTCTCTTTTGAATCTTTCTGAGCTTTCTGCTTAGTACCTTCAGTTTCTTTGACTCTCTTTGGTGCTGTTTTCTTTTCTGTAATTTTTTTTTTTTTAGGCTCATCACCACTTTCCACCAATTCCTGCTTTGCTTGGCGCTTTCTCGTCACCCTCTTTGTGATATTCTCTTCTTGTTCCATGATTTTGTTAAGCTTTGGAACTACTTTCTTAGACTTTATATCATTTTCAATAGTGTCCTACAAAAGTTTGATTGTGACTTAGCTAATCAGATCCATTTCAGCAAAACATTTTGTAATACAATTCTTTTAGGAGATAGCTCCCCTGCATTAATTGTATTTTGCAACAAACTACGATTCATCCCACCTAAATTCTGGAGATTCAATGACTTAAAATTCTGGTTTTCAATAAATATTACTATTACTACCAACTAGTTTCTAAAAATTAAAAAAAAAACTTACTGTTTGCTTAGCGGGCTTTCTTTTAGGAGGCATGCTAAATAGCTGCAAAGGATGTACAAAATCACAAGTAAACCGTTGAGATTAAATATTTGTTACGGCCGATCCTGAAAATTAAGCCAATTCCAAACAGCTACTTGGATCAAATGGATGGGAAGAAGCTTGTTTGAATGAAAGAAAAAAAAATCTTCTTCTTTTCTTTTGAAGTTGGCGCTGCTTAAGAGGCAATTTGCTTGCACAGTTTAAGACTACCTCAACTCTCAGGGGAAGTGTCTACTATTTGTCAATCCATGACAATCTCATCGAACAACAGATAGCACAAATATCACGAAGAAAACATTACAAACATAAGAGCGACAAAAATTAACACAAAAACTATACTTTGAAAAATAGTCTAATTTAAAACGAAATAGTAGCTCAAAGATCAGGATGGTCCATCGACCTAAAGAAGACACGCATAAGCGCATAAACTACAATTTTCTAGTAACATAAAAATTTTAAAATGGTGTTCGGTGTTTAGGAATTAAGAACAAAAATCAAGAATCCTGATAACACTACCAATTAACAGGTCAATTTATTTTATAGGTATATTTCTTACCACATTCGATCCCGCAGCAAACTTCTTCATTTTGACCAATGGTGATCCATCACTTTACTTAATATCTCTGTAGAAATACATATTTGTACATAATTTCTTAATATTGCATTACCAAAATAAAAAAATGTACTTATTTTTAACCCATTCTGCTTTACTGTCTTTTTTACTTTTTTTAAAACGTAACACATACAAAAACCTTTCTATATAAAGACATATATATACACCAAACAATTATAACCCCAATAGACACTCTATAAAACTGAACTCGCATAAGAGCTCATAGTATATCTTTTATTTTCGGTTGTTACCAATAACAAGTGCAGAACTCAAATTTTTCTTGTTCCTTCTTTACTGAAACTACTTCAATTGTATTTAAACTCTAGCTATTTTAACACTCCCAACTACCAAATAATTTGTAGATAGCATTCTTTTATAGTATGCGAACCAAGTTACCTCATCCTGTATTTATCAATATCTACTTGCCATTTTTGTCCAGCTACAAAACAGAAAATCATTTGACCAAAACATTTTTTATAATTTTTGAAAACAGGTATGGACTAGAATTAGTTTTTAATTAAAATAATATGCTTCAAACTGTCATTTTTGGCCAGATTTCTGAAAATTGCCCTGGCAGTCAGCATGTCACCAATAAAGCACATTGCAGATAATGATGCCCTGGCAGTCAGCATGTCACCAATAAAGCACATTGCAGATAATGATCTTAACATATCTTAAATAGTAAACCTAAACATTGAATACTAACCACAATTTTAGAAATTAAAAAAAAATTATACAGGAAGCGCAAAAATACACAGTATATTACCACATTTATTTTTAGAAAATTTAAACAATAAATAAATTATCGTTTGCCACCAACTCTTGGAGCAGCCTTCTGTACCACTTTTGCTATTTTCTGTTTAGGGGCTGCTTTTGGTTTGGCTGGTGCTGTAGCTTTCTTTGCAGCTTTTGTAGATTTTTTTGCTTCCTTTGCAGCACTGCAAAAATTAATTTAAATCATAACTATATCAAAAAATCAACAGTTAATCCACATTTAAATGTAGTGATGTTAAATAAACTATTAGCTATTGGATAGCAAACAGTTGGTAAGTAACCACTTTTATTTATGCAGTTTAACAACTAATAAAATGGTTTTTTCACCATTTAATCGTACCAACTGCAATAGAAAACCACTTTAATTTGCAAAGACGACAGCTCTACAGAACATTTAATTAAAACTCACCGGATAGCTTGTTCTCTTTGTGCTTCTCTAATTTCTGGTCTTTGGTTCCGCTTTGCTAAGATATCATTTAACGAAGCTCCCACAATTGCACGTTGCGCCTTTTGAGTCCTTCGCGTACGTTTCTTGGTGGTTTCTTCTTCCTGACCTTTTTTATGCTTGCGTCTATAAAGTACAGTCCACGTAACTTTACGTGGGTTCCGTCTCATTAAGTGAGCCCGCTCGCATTTCGAATTCAAAAACGTAAAATTCTACAACAAATTTGCCATTTTTTAAATTCTTGCCTAGGACGGGAGAATTGCCATAATCTATAAAAAATAATTAGATAGCCATTACCTTTCCATCGACCTTAACCATGGTTTTTCCATGACCAGGATAGATTTTGTAGCCGCTATAAGCGCAAAGCCCGATCCTAAATCAGAAAATTCATTAAAATATGTTTCAATTTCGATTTGAGACGTAACAAAACACTATAATTATAAAATTATATAAACTGATGCCCAAGATAATAGGCGATGTATATTTCCGAAACTTACTTCATTTTGCCTAAATCTCAACGTCAACAAAAAGAACCCATAGATAATCGAATTTGGTTGGTTAAAATGTTCTAACAAAAAATATAAAGCAAGGAACGTAAATAAGTCATTCAATTTTAGTACACGAGTTTCAAAGCGAGAGCTAAAAAGGAGATATCAAAGTACTTCAAGTTCTTCTATTTACCCTAGGTTAAGCTACGGGCGTTTACTTTTTGGGAATTTTGATAAGTTATAGAACTGTCTGACAAATTTGACAAAACCTATATAACAGACAATGGAACCAGCATGAAATTTTTGTTATTGCTAAATTAGCTTCATTTTCTTTTGTTTTTAATTAGAAAAAATTCTCATTGTAAATAAGCAGGCGTTTTGATCAATAAAAAGCAAGTACGTTATTTGTATAATTTGGACCATCAGTAAGAACCACCAACCTTACTTGCTATCATCTTTTCTATGCAACTTAACCTTTTGACTGACGTGGATTCATCGACACGAAAACATTTTGAATTGCGGGCACCCAATAAATACTTATTTTTATACTACAATGGATATAGCTACACTGTTCGATGACGTTAAACGAATGAATAAAAGACAGGTAGATAAAACATACTGTTATGTGCTTAGTGTTAAATATTCTGTTTGAATTTGATGTAAAAATATATAGATAATACTTACCAATTTTAGTTTCTCTACCAAGTCCTAAGTTTTGGAATGATTGTGTCTTCTGCTCTAATGATTTGGAAAGGTCTAATGGTTGTAACAGGAAGTGAAAGCCCCATTGTTGTAGTTTTATCGGGCAGTATGGAACCTGCATTTCACAGAGGAGATCTATTGTTCTTAACCAATTATCCTGAGGAGCCTGTTAGAGTTGGAGAAATTGTAGTATTTAAAGTCGAAGGAAGAGATATTCCAATAGTACATCGTGTGTTAAAACTTCATGAAAAGTAAAGGTTGATATTTCTTTTATGTTGTTGTTTTTTCAAGTTTATTTTTAGGAACAATGGCACTGTTAAATTTTTAACCAAGGGAGACAATAATAGTGTTGATGATAGAGGATTGTATGCCCCAGGACAGTTATGGTTAACAAAGTCAGATGTTGTTGGTCGGGCAAGAGGATTTCTGCCATATGTGGGCATGGTAACAATTTTGATGAATGAATATCCAAAGTTTAAAGTAATTTAGGACTATACAGCACTATTGTTTGCTTAACAGTTATTTTTCAGTATGCAGTATTGGCGTGCTTGGGGATGTATGTGTTAATTCATAGAGAATAGTAGCAATCAAACTTCCTTTTACTTGAGGTAAAGAATTAATTGTATAATTTTGTGTGTAACTTAAAAAACTGGGTATCTACTGTAACTAGTGTTTGAGATGTTTTTTGGCATCTGCGAGGTGTATAATTTTTGCTAATAAATTTCTCTGAAATAAAACCACTGCTTTTATGTTGCATTCTAAGACAACCCAAAAATCTTTTGAAAAACTGATGTTATGGAAAGTGGGTTTTCATCAATTATGGTTGGTTTTTTTTTTATAAAAGTTGTTGGAAACTAAATCAAAAAAATAAGAAATTGCCAAATAATATTTACTTATTTTCAACACAATACAAGGATTCATGTTGAAATCTTAACGTCTCATTTCCATAGCTTGTCCAATGTGGCAAAAGATTTCTGGCAAAAATTTCTAAACATTTTGGATCCTTTGATATAATTTTTTTAAAAATTTGATGTAAAATTGGTTTATGGGAATGTATCGCACTAGGGACACTCACTATCAATTTTTTCTCTTTTGGCAAACAATTGTTTCTGCTTCCAATAATTATTCTCTCAAATGGTTGTTTACCTAAAACAGGCATTGTCAAAAAGTAAAACATATGTGCAAATGGCTCACCATTTGGTTTGGAAAAGTCACATACAGTTTCCCCACTCTTGGTGACTTTTACCCAATACCAGGTTGAGATATATCCAACCTTCCACTTTTTAAAAACAATGTCTTTCAAATATGTTATATGTTTTGGAGAATTTGTACACCAAACCACAATTAGTCCATTGTCAGTTAACATATTTTCTAAAGGTATGTTTTTTAATTCTTCATTGGCCATCATATTGTAAGCATGTGGACTTTTTTTTCTTTTACGTCTTATATATTTATTGTACCAAGGAGGATCCAACAAGATCAAGTCAAATGTTTTTCCTTCTAAATACAAACTGATACTTTCCACATTTTTTACAAAAAAAATAGAATTCCTGGGAAAGAAAAATCTTGAGTTATTAATCATTTTATCAACAGGTGGACCAATATTTGAACCTACTGCGTCGCTTATTAAATATTTCCCTGATTCTTCATATACAAAATCTGCTGTGTTCAAAGCTGCTGTGTTTTTTGATTGAACCAGTTTGCTAACTACACAATTGGTTTCTTTTAATTCTTTGTTAAATTGATAATAATTCTTTTTAATGAATTCTATTTCCTCTTCTGAATCACAATTATTTTCCAAGGAAATGTTTTTTTTGGCTTTCGGTTTTGTCTTCAAACAGTAAGGGGTAAAAATTTTGTATAGGTTGGGATTGATTTTTGGTTTAAGATTAATGTCTTCATACATGTTATTGATGTAAGTTTCACTGCAAAGAAAATATCCTAGTTCGTTTTCAAATAGAATACTCATTGTATAAACTTCGGTATTATTATTCAATTACCCATTTTTTTTCGCTTAAAATGCTAAATGGCATATAGAAAGACTAAGGTTATAATACAGTTCTTCTTATTTACATTCCCCTGGGGCCCGTTAACAAGATTTTTGTTATTCAATTATGATAAACCATTTAAGAAAGACGAAGATAAATTTTGTTACTCAAAAGGATTCTGTGGTGGAGCATTGCACGCGGCGGTTTAACCTCCGTTCGCTCCCGACAGAATCCCTTGTATTCGTCCTCAAAAGTGTGATATCGGTTTCCACTGTATGGACTTAGTGTTGTTAGTGTTCAGTGCATGTTTTAAAGTTATAATCGTCGTCGGCCCCGTCGTTTTTCCCCGTTCACGCCGGTATGGAGGCCGGATGGGCCCGGATGGTCCGCGGTGGAAGCGGGGGGTGTCGGTTTTTTTTGGTATCGGTCAAATTTGTTTTTTTGCTAGTTGAGCAAATGTTGGTTATATGTCTTCTTTGTACGTGTTGGTCAATGACCAAAAGCGAAGATCCTCGACGGAAGTCGGCAATGGGCGAATGATCCTAGCAGTCGAGCCCAACATTTTTTGTGAAACGCATACTTGAACTTGTTACTCAAAATTTACACAAATGAAAAAATTCGTAAAACATATCACATAGTAGTGAAATCAGTTAAAATGCCTGTCACAGCTACACAGTTATCAAATCTCTTGAAAGGAACTAAAAGATTTGATCAAGTTCTAAATAAGGTGCAATATTTTTGTTTTATAAATCACTTTGGTAAGAAGAAAGTTAGAATATTCTATTCTAGGTAAAAATATTAAAACTTGAACAGGGAAAGTGTGAGGCTGAATTAACACTTGATGAAGAACATACAAATATATATGGAGGGCTTCATGGAGGTCTGTCTGCTACATTGGTTGATTCAATATCTAGCTATGCCTTAATGTCACATGAACATGGACAAATGCCCAATGTTTCCATTAATCTGAATATAGAGTAATAATTGTTTTTTGCACTAAAGTGTGCTCATATGCAATAGAACCCACCGTACCTGAGTTAGCAAGTTGCTTTATTCATAGATTTAATCAGATTTAGTAAAGTAAAATAAGGCTTTTTTAGATTTTTAAAAGCTGCCAAACTGGGGGATAACATCAAAATAATTGCTGAAACATTAAGAGTTGGAAGAACAATTGCTTCTTTAGAAGTTCTAATTAAAAATGAAAGTGGAGATCTCCTGGTAAAAGGGTCTCACACCAAGTTTCTGAAATTTGCTGAACCGGAATTCAACCCATCTAATTAATTAGAATTAAATTCACTTGGTGGGACTTTTTGCCAATCAAGCTAGTATTCTTCTACTGTGCCCTTTCTGAGAATGTACACAACCTAGTAAATAAATTTACTACAAGTGTTGCATGAAGTGTTTAACCAAAATTTTGATACTGATATTAAAAAACAAAATAAAGATTTTATAATAAAATTTTACTGTTTTTGTTTCAAGTCAATATCTGCTTAAATTGAGTGCACAAATTACCAGTTTGTAGAACTACAAACTGGTTACAAACCTATGTAAAATTTACTTTACAGCTATATTTGTCACTTTGAAATTACTAAACTGACCAAAACTATTGACATCTTCACTTATTTATTACATATTTGAAAGAATAACTCAATATAAAATTTAAAAAATAACATCAGTAGTTTACCATGAATGTCTTGTGATATAAGCTGTATGACTAGCCTTAACTATTAAATCACTTGTTGATTTGTTTTTTATGAGCACATCTAAAAATGCCAAAGTTTGACCAACACTAACTGCCTTGGAAGTAATTTGAATAGTATCTCCCAAATTTGCAGTTCTATAGTATCTAAAAGTAAAACACCAATTACCTATATTAGGTGAAGAATAAGGTGACAAATTGTTTAAATTGAGATGCTTACGTCAAGTGCATATTAATTGAAACATGTGGGAAATCTCCTGCTTTATGGGTTGTTAGCGCAAAACTAGATATATGATCAACTAACAATGCTGAAAAACCATTATGTAAAGTACCCATTAAATTTGTATGTTCCTCGGCTATTGTTAACTCGGCCAAACCATTGCCATTCTCCATTGACAAAATGTTCACCTGCAAGCTTTTAATGTTTATTATTTAGACGTTATAATACCAAAACCTAGTATTACTTTCCGCAAAATTTTGTCGAATCCTTTTGTACTCTTAATATGTTGCATTAACGACAAAGGTTTAAAACCCATTTCTATCCCGGATATTAAACCATTCTAAACCAGTTACATCAATAAAATATATTAAAAATGATAAGACGTTTTTATAACGATTTTTATATACGTGGGATCTCCGATTGTTTTGAATGAAACAAAAAAATAGCTGAAGTGAAATAATTTGCAAGAATACAACATAAAATCAGATTGTCCATTTAAAACAAGACATATTTAATCCAGACAAAATCTTGAATCTAAAAAAATTTATGGCAGAAGACTGAGTTTAGTCACAGACTACGAAACAATTGTTGTTGGTTGTGGTATTCTGTGGATTAGTGTTTTCCATAGAAGTATCCCTGAACCTTAGTCCTATTTGTTTGTCTTCTCTATTGTTTTCAATACCAGGAGAATCATAGATCCAATTAATTAGTAAAAATTAAACTGATTCCGAATGGTTGTGGTACGATTCATATACGCGCATTGCGAAGTTTGAAATTTATCTGCGCATGTTGGGAATCGTACTAGAACTTTCAAAATAAGTTTCAAAGTGTACCAAATCAAGTCTAGTTTTAAGAAGCCTACGCCGGGAATGTGGACTTTCCAATAATTAGCGTGGTTTAAAGTTGTTCCAAACAGATCTGGGAAAACTGGTACATTAGCATGGTGTTAATTTATAGTAATTAATACTGAGCAAAAGGGAAACGTCAGAATCAATTCGAAAATGAAACCAATACAAGGCTAATTTACAAAGTCAATGCCGGAATCGATAGTTTGCCCATAGAGAATGGAAAAAAGAAGAGCTTTTAATAGAGTTTTTAAATGATAATCCGATTCTGTGGTGGAGCATTGCACGCGGCGGTCTAACCTCCGTCCGCTCCTAGCAGAATCCGCCGAATTCGTTCGAAAAACCTTTGGTATCGGTCTTCAATTTGTGTGACTCTGTTTCGGCAGTGTTTGGTGTTTGTTTTAAGTGTAAAAGTTCCGCCGGCCCCGTTGTTTTAACCGTTCACGCCGGTATGGAGGCCGGATGGGCCCGGATGGTCCGGGGTGGAAGCGGGGGGGTGTCGGTTTTTTGGTATTGGTCAAAATTGTTTTTTGCTAGTTGAGCAAATATTGGTTATATGTCTTCTTTGTACGTGTTGGTCCATGACCAAAAGCGAAGATCCTCGACGGAAGTCGGCAATGGGCGAATGATCCTAGCAGTCGAGCCCAACATTTTTTTGTGAAACGCATAATTGAACTTGAATTGAAATGATAACCCTATGCCCAACAGCTATCTGTGAAACGCAATATTGAATTGAATTTCAAATGATAACCCTAATTATTTTTTGAAATTTAGAAATTTTCTTTTGAATTTGCAAACACTTCTTCAAACTTTTTTGTGTACCGTGTATGATTTGGCAAAAATGTTAATCCTTACGTATATTTTGATTGCTGATGTTGTTGACCTTTGGATCCCTCATATATCTAAGCAAAGCAATGAGATATAAAGACAGATATTACCTATGTTCACGTGAAGTGATTAGTTCTCGCAGACGAGACGACCCATATTTAAAAAAATCATGTCTGCTTCAAAAATTTGTAATTTTTCCAAAGTCTTGAAAGAGATGAAAGGATTTGACAGATTATTAGCAAAGGTGAGCATGTATTTTTGAATTATGTAAACGTCTTGTTTTTGGATGTTTCTGATTTTACATCCTAAATTTTTTGTAATAGGTAAATTTTCAATCAATTGACCACGGGAATGCATTAGCGGATTTCATAGTTGAAGAAGAACACACCAACCCTCTTGGCACTTTGCATGGAGGATTTTCTGCAACTTTAGTTGACAGTGTTTCCAGCTTTGCTCTCTCAACTCATGATAAAGTTGGCTGTCCCCATGTTTCAGTTGATATTCACTTAACGTAAGTAAACTTTTGTCATCGTTTTTTTAGATCTATGTGTCTGTGTGTAGGATTAGAAAATTTTAATTATAGTTGCAATATGATTGTTGTTGTGCATTGTGTATATATCTAACTGGACAAATTGAATATTGGGTCCTTTTACGATGTGGCAATGGCATAATATTAAATCATAATAACTGAGTTCTAAATTGCAGAGGTTTCTACTTTAACAACTTAGACATTGCCTTTAATATTTATAATTAATATATATGATGCGTTTCAGACACTTGACAAGAATTTCAATAGGTGATTCACACATATTTTAATAACAATTTTTCCAATATTACAATTATTTTTTATTACATTAAATATTGAAAATTGCAATGTGCGGCAAAATCTTTTAAAATATATAAATAATAAATATATACTATAAAGGCTATTTAAAACTAGAAACATTTTCTTACAATTTTGAAAATTAACTTTAATTCCTGATTATAAATCTAGTTATTTTTTATTTTCTTATATTTATAATAATAATTTAAGATGATGTGTGTTTATTAAGTTTATTTAAAAGTCTAGAATCAATTTTTATTCTAGTTCACACATCTTAATGTATTTGTTAAGATCTCAGAGTCATTATTGTACAGTGTTAAGAGACTTAGGTACTATATAATATATTTAAAGTCAAATCAAATTTAAAAACATTAAGAAAAAACAAAATCCATAAAATTTAAGGTACAAAGATTTTTTTTGGTTTAAAGAATGCAATAAAGAAGTTTTAGATATAGGATCTCTCAAAAGTGGGAATTTTTGGTTTGGTGATCTGCAAAGGGTGATTTTCCTAGATATAACGTCATTTGTATTTTCACATAGATCAGTTATTTACCTACAATATTTTTCTATTTTCAAAGAAACCCACAACAACGGCAATTATCTGTTAGTATCATTTAACTGTTAGGAAGAATTAAAACAGAACTTTCAATCATTTTTTGTCAGTCATTTAATTTTGTATAGACCATTAATTTACCAACAATATTTTTCTATTTTCAAAGAGCTACACAACAAAGAAAAGTGTCTGTTAATATCAAATAACTGTTAAAGAGTTAAAACGAAACTTGCATTTATTTGAATCTATTATGGATTATCTGCTTTTTATATATAATAATAGAATAATATAATATTAATACAATCTGTATTTTCAGAGATTCAAAAAAAATTAAATTTTTGATAAACCTGTTTGGCTCATAATAAACTACGTTTTACTTAGTTGCGGTTGTTTCCATTAAGCTAATTTGGCTCGGAATCATGTTTGGCTGGTGTACAGGGTGTCCCACAATGAACATCGAGATGGCGGTACCTGGAAGTTGGTGTCAACGTATCTTGTTTTGAATAGAATACTATATATTTCATTTATTTTTTCCTCGGAATGTGCTGATGATGTTTAATGTGGAACTTTTTGCGAACCATTTGCAATATTACAAGCCTCTTAATTAATAAAAAATACTTAATTCTTTCCCATAAAACTTTGTTATATATGGTGGAATGAACGTAATCGAGGTAGCTTGGATACTGATAGTATATGATAAAATTGTAAAATTATTAAAAAGATCTTATGTGATGGAAGATCTAAACTAGAATACTGTTTTTTAGATTTAGTATATTTTTGCCATGATGTGTTGCATCCCAATGAAGTGTTTATTCCGTTTTTCAGATATTACTCTTCCGCAAATGTGGGAGATCATGTTGAAATCGAGGCAAATACAATAAAAGCGGGTAGATCGATGGCGTTTTTAGAAGTACTTATTAAAAACAAAAACACTGGTGTTCTTTTATTGCGAGGTCTACATTCAAAGTATTTGATGCGCGGAAAGTAATCTAGAATAAATTAACAGTTTAGTTGTAAAAAAACTTATTCGAATTTTAGTAGATTTCACTATATTTAGGTATTTCGTGGTATTGATCACGTCTGGTGATTATAAGAGATATCATTTTCATCAACATTTTATTTTAATCAAATTTAAAAAAATAATTTAAAGTAAAAATACCGACGTTATTGCGAGGATTGAAAGTATGTAATATAATTATTTTTTTTTTATCGAAAAATTGATAACCAAAAAATTCATTGAAATTATAATAGATTTTGCCATATTTAAGTATTTTCTGATGTTGATCATGTCTGGTGATTCATTGATTGGGTAATCATTCTTATCGACATTTTGCTTTAATTATCCGGCAGCTAGATAAAGCATGACGTAACTTAAAATAATGACACGACAGTCTCCTTTTATTGAAATTTTATAACTAAAATACCAATTAGTAAACACAATGGTTACACGATAAGTTTTCAAAGCTATATTATTCGAAAATAAAATACAAGATATTTAACATTAGCAATAACGTGTGTGGAACGAAGGCATCGCCAGAAGCTGTTTCAGGAATGTATTTTGTATTTCTCATCATCCAATAAAAACCATCCATTCTATGCTGGCGTTTTAATTCGGCCCCCACTTGCTGACGTATCTGTTCGTTATACCAATTCAGCCATTTTTTCTAAGCGAAGAAATGATTAATATTTGCGTACAACAGAAAACTTATATTACCTGATCTATGGTGAGTAATGTGAAATTAATTAACTTGACTTCATAAGGCACCAGTGAGATTATTTGGAATCCAAGGAACGTGTGACCGGAAGATCTTTGCAACCAGGGTTTTTCGACAACTTCTAACACGTTTTGCAGTCTCACGCCAAAGTAACCTTCTCGGTAGTATCCTGGTTCTAAAATTATCTATGCAAGCGGGACGTTACAAATTTTCTTTTTTACCAACCGTTCGTGAGAAAATATCCAGGCTTGAATGTTTGCTTTGCACTGGCCTCGAGATCGTACTGAACTACTATGGGAGCTAAAACAAAAAGCAAAAACCGCGTGATGCAATCTGAATGGAGGAATAATAGAAATGGGTACATAAGAGTTTGTCTTCAGAAAATTTTGTTTTCCGAGTGTAAAATTGAGTCGGTTTTGTTATTAATAAGCCTTAATTATAAAGCCTAATATAACATCAAAATTATTAATATTATTGCAAAAAAGGTTGGTATTCTATTCACTTCCTGTACCTAAGAAAAATCGACTCCCTAGGCAATAGTGCCGGTCATTTCATCGTTCTGTCCAATTAATTAATTGAGAATAATTCAATAAATAATTTTTAAGTTCGTCGGGTCTCATGGCCACGGCACTCTAATCTGATGGTCATAGAAAAAATATATTATGCAACTGACACTTTAGTTACAAGCTTGGTTAATAAACTAGTACCTGGAGAAGTATATAAAAGTGTAATATACTTTTTCTAATAAAATATACTATTAATTCCCTTTAATGATATATTAATATATATAGCATGTAAGAAAATATGAATATATTATGACACGTGGAAAATTTTCGTTATAAAAGTTGAGTTTGAGTTTAATTGGATGCAAACAGGTTTAATGTAGTTAAGCAAAAACCGAAATTTGTTTTTTTCTGGCATTATTGAAGTCCAAAAAATACGAGGGCAGTACCAAAATTTCCAGGCCTGAATATGAAAGAAACAAAGCAGAGTAACAATTTTTTATTATTTTTCAATATAATCCCCCTTAACTTCCAATACACTTATTACATCTCTTTATTAAGAACTCAATCCCTTTAAAAAATATTCTTTTGGTTTGTCTGCAAAATGAGCTAAAACAGCCTCTTTTAACTGAACTTCGTCGTTAAACCGCAGTTCACGTAAGTCTTTTTTCAAATATCCAAACAAATAATATCTATCAAAAGAATTCCTTCAAAATTCCAAAAGGTCGTGGCCATGTCCTTTTTGTTGACAGGCAGACTCTGAATTTTCTTGGACGTGCTTCACCCTTACGACGTCACTCCATTGATTTTTTTTCGATAGAGTCATAATAGAGAACCATAGTTTCATCTCCCGTCACAATAGCTTCTATCACAGGCTTCGGTTCCGACCCACAGAGTTCCATAAAAGACCGCGCACACTCGACACGGCGTTGTTTTTGAATATCCGAAAGGTTTTTAGGAACCCATTTTGCACTAACCTTATGCATACCTAAATGATCATGCAGGATTCGACGAACACTTGTATCAGAAAGCTTAATAATTTCTGAGATTTCCTTGATTTTTAAACGTCGATCATTCAATACCACCTCTTCCACAATCGCTACAATATCTTCCGTTATGACCTCCACTGGTCGACCAGTTCTTGAATCATATTCAAGGGACTCCTGCCCCATTCGAAAATGTTTTGCCCATTCTTTCACTACAGAATACGAAGGAGAACTTTGGCCGTACACACCATCCAGCCTTTCTTTAATAATTTTAGGTGCTAACCCTTCTTTTGTCAAAAACTTAATGACTGCTCTATACTCAATTTGCGTTATGTGCGACATTTTTTCGGACACGTCTTGTTTAAAATGCTGTCAATAAAAAACAATTTGACGCAAGACAATTTTTTTTTGCAGCCTACTAAGATAGATATTTAAAAGAAGACAAAGTTTTATCGTGATACTGGAGCTGCATCTATGTCAGGCAGAGAAATTTTGGCGCTAACCTCGTAGTCCGTTCTGTTCTGATCTCATTGATGTATAATTTATCATATTTTGTATTTTTGACTTCAATGGATTTTTTTTAAACATTACTTTTCATTTCTTGACAAATCAAATTAATCTGCACAGAGTTTTTAAGAAAATGGCTTTGTAAAATTAAACTTTCTCACTACAAATTACAACTAAAACATCCCACAGATGTTTTTATTTTACACATTTGTCTGAGGTTATTCTTTTAATACTATTTACTAAACTTCTGGATTCCTCCTGCGCCGATTGTTGTAGAATCAAACTTGCTGACGTTTCGCCAATCATCCTGTTGTTCGACTCAACATCAACCGACGCAGGAGGAATCCAGAGGTTTTGTAATAATATATTATGCAACAACTGCGGTAAACGGCATTTGACTCATGAGTGACCTAAAAAGTTTACCTATCGTTTACATGTTGCATACTATACTTTTTCTACGACCGTTAGTTTTTGGTTGCATTTTCGCAAAACAACACGAATACATTCACTGACAGGACCGTCAGAATTTACAAACGTCAAAATTCAAAGTGTGGGAAATATCTCCGTTTTCTTCCCGATCCGTGCGCTAAATCCCGGAAATGTCCGAAGTGGCTCGGAGTCATGGGAAACGAAACTGACGTGGTAAAGTGATGCTTCCCGCAAGCTAGATCGGTGGGTAATTACGTATTTTGCAGACGGGAGTAGAAAAATAATATTACAGTAACCTGTGGAAGTTTTTTTGAAAAGTTACTCTTTTAAATTCGCCGTTGTGCATAAGCTTAGATTTTTATTCTTTATATAGGTGCCTAATACAATTTCTGTAAATATCATTTCGAAGTAATGGGATGAGTAAGTTTCCAGGTAAGATGAATCACTTTATATTGTTTCATGTCTATGAGCCACTATATAAAGGTTGAGGTTGTCACAAAATATAAGAACCTAAAACCATATTTTTAGAACTAAGCCGAACTTTTGGAAAAAATTGATATAATAATTAAATAAAGTAAATTATAAAATAACGGATGTATAAAAAGGAAGGGTTTATTAAGTAAAAAATAAAGTACTCCCGGTCTACCTTATAGTCCAATAATAAAATGGCCATATACAGTGCCCGAGTAAATGATAATGAAATGATGTTTTTTTGTACCCTTATACATAGCAAGATGTCTAATTATGGACATAAAAACAATATCTCAGATTGTCAAAATGACGGCATCATTTTAAATATTTTTTTTAAATAGTAAAGGTGATACCTCTTTTTAAAAGTCTTTTCACGTTCTATTCTCATACTAATTTTGAAAACATTTGATTTATCAGTTTTTGAAAGTATTATTCAACCGTAGCTTAAATTAAAAACAAAAATAGAATCCTCATGTTATCAATTATTTTTTAGACGTTAAATAAGAGTTATTCATTATGTGAGGGTATAGAAGGCTCTTACATTCTCTAACACCAAGAAACGAGCCCACTCCGTGTCCCGTCTCGTGCAAATAGTCCAAACCGATTTCCCAGAGATGCCTTCTGGCCAAAACGTCGGCGTCGGCCATTTTGGTGTTGTTGGGAAAGGTCAAACTAGAAAACTTTATGTTGCCGATCAGCACCCTAGTGTAAGCTTCGACCATGATATCGTCGGGGGTTCCGAAATGGAGAGTGCGAGTTACATCCGTGGTGCCTTCTTTGAAATTGAGGTGACATTGCAGGCACACAAATGGGTAATCGAGATTCGGTTTGGCAGTGGGTTACTTACCATAATACTGTCCTCCAGATTCTACCACAACTGTGCTGTTAGTGTAAATCACAGCGTTTGTATTTTTTGTAGGAATGTAACGTGGTTGGGCTCCGTTTGGCCCAAACCCTACAATAGTTCGAAAACTGTTACCGAGACTAAGGTTTTGCTCGAATCTGTACGAATTCACTATTTCAGCTATTCTTTCTTCAGTGATTGCCTGTTCGACCTTTAACTACAAATAAAAAATATTGTCAAACAAATTACTCTTGTGCTGCACCGGTTGTTGGTATGACCATTATGAATATTAATGAAGATGAAAGGTGGGCGATTACTGCCGCTGTCTCTCCTTAATCTTCCGCACTCTTCAAAAACCCTTATTAGCACTTGGAAGAGACATTAAGGCTGTAGCGCGTATCGATCCGTAATAGAGGTCGTTTGTTTACTAATAATTATGGTTAATTCGCGTAGATTGTCTTGGCAATACAGAGACAAGAGTGGCACTACTTATTGTAGCTAATGTTTGGTGGTGGTTCCCTTTGTTCTGTTAATAGTACCGCGGTTGTACCTACCCTGTGCTGGAAGTACTTTTCTATATATGCAAAACAATCGCAGAGCGCGGCAGCGTCTTTAATGTGAGCTGTTCTCATTCCTTGCCTCTCCACTTCATTTTTGATAGCTTTGAGATAGATGATAGGCGATTGTTTCGGCAGCCGTCGGTCCTCGAAGATGTGTTCGTAAATGGCATGACTAGCGCCCTCGCTATAGACACAATGAGACGGTACCAAAATTTTTTTGTAAAGTTGCGATTTGGTGCGTAGGTCGGCCCATATATCCGAATAATTTCTTAACCTAGAAAAAAATATTAATTCTCACCACCATCATTTTTTTATGATGATGTTGATTCAACACCACTAAGCTATGTGGGTTACGTTACATATATATATATATATATATATATATATATATATATATATATATATATATATATGATGACACTATATTCCGGGATATCATCCGTTCGCTTGTTGAACTCCGACTGGAATCCTGGAGACGTTTCGCCAAAATCTCACTTGGCATCTTATATATATATATATATATATATATATATATATATATATATATATATATATATATATATATATATATATATATGTATGTATATATATATATATATATATATATATATATATATATATATATATATATATATATATATATATATATATATATTCTCACGTATTGATTCACGGATGGAAAAATGTGATGACACTATATTCCGGGATATCATCCGTTCGCTCGTTGAACTCCGACTGGAATCCTGCATCCGACTGGAATCCTGCAAATCCTGCATCCGACTGGAATCCTGCAGACGTTTCGCCAAAATCTCACTTGGCATCTTCAATGCTCGCGCTCCAAAAACAGTTCGAACACTGGCTGTAAAGGTCTCCTTCCCCTTCCCGTAAAGGTGTACGATATTCTCACGTATTGATTCACGGATGGAAAAATGTGATGACACTATATTCCGGGATATATATATATATATATATATATATATATATATATATATATATATATATATATATATATATATATATATATATATATATATATATATATAACTTTTTTCATCTTTTGCATTCAACTTGAAATTATCCTGCAACTGCGAAGTTGGTGACGTATCAGTCATTAAATTTATCATAAAAAAGTAATCCAATAATACCATGTGTTCTCAAGAGGATAACGAATTTGCCTTACAATACAGTTTAAACATAGAAGGATACGATTTTAAATGAAACGAAAGGCGACAAACTTTTTTACTATTAAGATACAAAACGTTTTCGAAAATGTTACGCTACATCTCGTACCATTTGACACCTTATGGAAAAGCCAACATCTATTCCAGGTATAACGTTTTGCATAAAAAATCAATGCCGCTCTCAGAATGGTTGTCCGAGCCTATGCTTTTCAAAAATATATAGTTGCATGAAAATTAATGAAAATTTAGCATTTTCCAAAGTCTTTTTTTTTAATGCCCTTATGTGAGGATAATACTTATTTCTCGTTATCTGTCATCACCTAGGAGTCGATTATTTTAAATTCGAACATTCTGCATATCATTACCGACTTGCAAAGTTTGCATAAATAAAGGTGACTGCAATAAACAAGGCAATATACGTCTCTTGCTGCGTCTCCAGATGGGCCCGTTGTGCCCCCAGGCCGTTCTAGAGGGCGTCCAGAATGCCGCCCCTCCTATAGAAGGTCAGCAACTCCTTTAGCCCAATACCGTGCACTGAGTCCGGATCGATCAGGGCCGTTCCGAAGACACAAAGCATTAAAGAGTCCTAATAAACCAAACCAGAAACTAAACTAAAGTAACTAAATATTTGTAATTGAAAATATTTACATCATCACTGAAAAATTCTAATCAAAATTATCACTGTACCGGACAAAGTTCAACATTATTCCCTTGGGTAAAGTCGAATGACTGTGGTTACTAGTCAAAACTATCTACTTACTGGACGGAGTCATGCCTTCTAAAGATATTGTCCGCTTGGAGATAAGACATGACGTTAAATGACTCCAACTGACTTGAATTAACATACAAGGTTATGCTTGTCATATCGAACAAGACGTAACTTCTAACAAACGGCGAAAAGGGTACGTCTCGGCCACGTAAATTCAAAAGCCACGCAACTTCGTCAAGAGAAGTGACCACCATTGCATCTGCCCCAGCCTTCTTGACAAGTCTTCTGGTTTCTTCGAGCTTAATTGTGTAGTTTTTGCCTGAAATACTGAAATAATGTAGTTTTTACCTGAAACGCATCTACACTGAATTACGAAAAGTTAGCACTTAAAGTCTGTTCATATATATAAGACAGCGACTAACTGATACGAATTAAGGAAAGACCCGGGCAAGCTGTAAGAATGAAATATAGCCGAACAGGTCCGTACTTTACGTATAATTTATTTATTTGGAGTTTTGTTAGGAAAGATACTAAACAATATTTATTTATTTATGTATGCATTTATGTTTAAATCTCAAATGAAATTAGAAATTATTTTTATTACCTACTTAAATTACTTAAAATTATTCACATAATATATCAGTATCACTATCGCTATCATCGCCTGTTCTAATTATTATTTGTTCTATATTATTAGCAATATGGATATACGATTGTTCTACTTTTTGCATATGTTTAATAGAATTTGCCCAATTTTGTGGAGGGATGTTAAAAACTTCGGTTTCTATAAGTTTGAGGACATTGGAGTTAACACGGGGAAAAACATTGTTACGACGAATGGCAGATTTCAGTTGGTGCCAAACATGTTCAATGGGATTAAATATACAGTGGTAAGGTGCAAGCCTTAAAACTGTATGCCCTAGATTTTTTGCATAATAATTACAGATGTATTCCTTTTGTAGGTTCAAGCTTTGTAGAACCTCAATTAATTGCTTTTTGGTATAATCTTTAAAATAAATGACGTTATTATACATGTAGTTTTGGATTGTTGTTTTTGTGTCACATAAGGAAGGGATTTTAGTCAACTGTCTACTGTGATAACTTGCATCGTCCATTTTAATTACGCTATTAGGAGGAATGTTTGGAATTAATTTGTTTTTAAACCAACTTTCAAATAAATCAGCGGTGGTGTCTTCATGGTAATCCAGAGAAGAATCTTTAATATTTTTCGCAGACAGAGAAAGTCCATTTGGAATAAACCATTTTTAGAACCATCATGCAAAATAGTTATTCTTTTACCTCTTTTTGATGGCGCATTAGTTTTACACTTATCAGTTGAGTAAACCCAACCCTTTTCCGCAGTATCAAAAGTGTCGAACCAGGTTTCATCTAAGTAAATAATTGACCCTTGTTGTTCTCTGTAAATCCTAATGTTTTTTAGAAATTCCATTCGCCATTTCCGAATTCTAAAAAATTCCATTAAAACTTGCCTTTTGTCAATTTTAAATCTAAAACCCATGTGTTAAATAAGGTATTTCTGTCACATTTAACACCGGTTTCATCTTTTACAAGCCGGCGCGCTTTGTTCCTCGTATAACTGGTAAATTGTATGCCGTATTATATCACTTTCATCTGCACTCGAGAAAATGTCAGCATCGCTTGTTTTTTTCGTAGCTGAAATGGGATTATTCACAATTTTCCTTACAGTTGATGTTGGAATTTTCGTCAATGTGGCCGTTTCTTCTAAAGATGCTTGCTTGCTGGCACCACGTTCAATGAGAGTAGTTATAAACATTGCTTATAGCTTCCTTAGTATCAATAGAATAGTGTTTTCTACATTTGGGCGGGAGCATCTCTTGAGATACACTAGACTCGCACATATTTTGCATAATTCGCACACGATTCAACACACGCTGTATTACACACGAAATAAGAATAATTACTAATAAAGTTAAACTAAGTAGTACACCAAACCAAAGAATATTAAACACAGGTAGGTATAACATTATTTTCTATTACGGACCACAATTTTACCTGAATTTAAATTCCGAAACTTTAAGTAATAATCTTGTTGCATTGTATGTTAATGATGGATGGATAATCCCATTCAAAAGCAATTGGTCACTTTCTTATATCTATGAACAGACCATACCTGCAAATTTAACATCTAATATAAACGCGTCCTTGCTGCGCTTTTCGCCCCTCTCTGAAGTGGGCCATATCACGTCTATTAAGCTGACGTTAAGAGCTATTAATTCGATTCCGGAACCGCTTAGTTCGGAGCTGAGCTTATTCCACATGTATTCCGAGATTAATTTTGGATTTACACCTACTCTGGCACCATTTGGAAATTCAGATTTCAACCAGTGTGACCTAAACAGAAGTAATATTTTAACAAAAACGCATAGTGTTGGGAAATAAATAATCCGTAAGAAAATGGAATGTTTCGTACATTGCTGTTGATTCCTTATCTGCAACAAAATTTAAATAATATCTTTCTTCCATAAATTAACCGATTAATTCCTGTTTGTTTAAATTTTACATTTTTGGATTTAAATGAATACTTGTACGCACTGAATATGTACTTATATATTCTTAATATATTTATACAAAGCTTATAAACTATATTATTACTTTAATAATAAAATGCCTACTTAATTTTTATAATAATAATAATAATAATATCATTTATTGCATCTACGAGAAATCTGACTTACAAGAAGTAAGGTTACTTACAAAAAAATGCAAGAAAAATTACACTATATGAAAAAAAAGCCAAAAAAACATTTTCGTTTAAAGCCTTTTACATTTTCAGATGAATTTCATAATATAACCACAGCGACTCGAGTAACTGAAATTAAGATTGGAATCATACCATTAAGACTCTCGGAATTTCTTTAAAAAAAATATAGCAGAGGTCATTTGTCTTGTTATTATTTCTTTCAATCCCTTTATAATTTAATTTTTATACTAAATTGTTTAATAAAATATTGAACATAGATTGTACTATAATCAGTTCTTTGGTTGAGAATAATTAAATAAAAAAAATAAACTGTAATTATTACCATTAACATCAACAGCTTTAAAATTAAACGAGTCTTTTACTGAAATTACATATGCAACATATTTTTTTCCAGCTATGTGCAGGAATATCAATATTTCCACCACGTTTTAATTAAATCTAACTATCTAAATTAGTTCGAAATATTTAGAAAAAGGAAATTTGGAAACTGTATCTTGATAATACTCCAGAGTTCAATTAGCTACTTATATAGGGAAGGAAGATAGGGTTGCTACTTAAACCCATCTTGAATTAGCATTTGCTAAGTAGTTAAGCAATGACCAGCTAAACTACTTCCTATATGAGTATAACATAACATTATCATGATAATTTTCATTTTCCTTTATTTAAGAGAACTTTCGTTTCACATTTAGTGGATGAATTACTCCATCATTTTTTTATGGTGTCGTCCAACGTAGGTGGCTTTACAATTTTCTTATCTATGTTATTTTATTGCATTGCCTTTTGTGATATGTTCTTGTAATGCATTTGCAATAAAGTCATATTATTATTATTATTATTATTATTATCATTATTTTTATTATTATTATTATTATTATTATTATTAAAATAATAAAACACACGATTAGCCTAAATTTGCATTTTGATTTAAGTTAACCTATTTATCAATTGTTTGAAATATTTTGAAAATATTTCAAACAATTGATAAATAGGTTAACTGCATTACCTTGTTGGAATGTTTCTCAGTCCTTCCCTAAATAGCAACCAATGGCAGTGCATTTCTTCGTCCGCCTGAAGATGGTATCTCCCGTCAGTCCAGAGCGCAGCTTTATCCAGAGTGATGATGGCGTCACCGTAGCTGCCGCTAAATCCTGAAATGTACTCCCGTCTCCTTTCGTATTCTTCTATTTCAACACTCTGCAATTGGAATCAAGAGTAACCAGTCAAAGCATCATTTTCCATTTAAAACAATGCTACATTTACTTTCAACGATCGCGATATGCGAAATTACGCAACAAACATCCATATACTTACCCGACTTCAACCCACCTGATGTTCGTCACTTGACGTGACTATGTAACCTTGTATTGGCTGAGTGCCTAAAACAACTTCCGACTGCATTTTTTCCCTCAAAGTAGACAATCGCTGGGTCGTGTCTACTCTTCGAGTTGGCTGAATGGCGTTACCGCGAGTGGAACACGCTTTACGAAGTCTACCTTTGAGTAGCAACTCTTCATCATAAGCGATAGTCAAAGTTAATATGGAATCTAGAAATTGCAAACAAAACAATACTTATCAAAATGAGCAACTTAATTGTCAATTATAAATTATATAAACGAAATATTACTTTCAAATCATACGATTTTTAGAATATTTTTTGACGTGAACCTTGAATGAATTAAATGAGTCACCTGTTTTAGTACAATATACCAAGAAACTTAGTTTTATCAGGCTAGTTGCGTATGAAAAGCTATCATTTTTCAGTTGTGGAAATAATTTTAATCTATTACACCTCTTAATATACCAATTAATATTGACAAAGTTCGAGATAATTATTTGTTTGTTTGTTTATAAGAAACCCCATTTTTTCAATTTATCACCCTGAATTTTGAAAACTCTGAATTTCTGGACTAAAAATGTTTTTAATATTTTTTAGCAAGTAATCGCCATTATAAAAATATCTCAACACCCTGTATGGGGGTTAATTAAAGCGGTGAATACGCTTTCTTATTATTCCAGAATTATTATTTTTTACTTATATCCACGATATCTTTCTTCTATAGTTTAAATTATTCATATATTTTTGTATTTAAATATTAATTATTTATTAAAACTCAGCATTTCAAGATATTTACTCAATGTTTTATTTTGCTTGTTATGACATACGTAGTAATGCTAAATTTATGACGCTTAATAATTTCACATATTAACATAATTATTTTTTTTAATGGATACATATATTACTTATTGCAATAAACCATTTTTTGTCCTTTTTTGGTTTGTTGACCAAATTCTGACAAATATTGAAACGCGAACAGAATGTGCGCCTCACCTTTATCGTTCCGCTTGCCTAAAATGTCGAAGGGAAGCCGGGTCGAACCCCACTAGCAATTTTACGCATTTGGATCCGTCGACAGCCCTTAAAACGATTCAAGGGTGCTTTTACCTCCTTGTCGTTATGGTTTCTTGTCAATTTCGCCCTTCATGTCCTAAATTTAGACTCCTACGCGTTGGACTGAATGGCATTTGCCGAGGGGTAGTAAACCCCCGTGGTCCCTCTTGGTAATTTATCCCATGGCAAATTTATCAACTCAAAATTTCAAAAGATTATTTTTTAACAGAAAAGCTTTATTAAAAAAACTATACCTTTTTTTCTATTTTTTTACTTTTTTAATATTTTCTTCTGACGCATCTGATACTGAAGAAATGTTAATTCATTTTTTCATTCTTATAAGAAAAATAATTAAATTCAATCATTACAAATTTAAATAAATTAAAACAGAAAGATTAAATATTTATGTAGGACTAATAGAGAAATAAAACCTCACTAAAACTAAATGGCCTTTTTTATTTTAATTAAGATGATGTACATGACGGTATTTACTAGCTCCTATTAAAAGGGGGCTCAATATAAAACTGATTGAGGTTTTTCGGAACGTGTGGATCGATAAACTAGTAGCATTAGCACGCCTTGACGTATGGATCAGGACATAACCAAATTAAATGCCTACGCAAATGATTATATGTCTAAAATTCAACGAATAAATGATCAAACATTAGATACAGTTTCGGAAGGCCCACTTTTGAACATTGATTTAAAATTATAACAAAATATCTCCACGATTTGAAAGCGCTCTGGAGAAAAGCGAATTCTGTCGCTACCAAAACGAGCGTAAAATATCTTATCCGATAGTAATGGACAAAGTAAGATATTGGTTTTGCGATGAAATGAATTTTATCAATTTACAACATTTGTATTTGTGTGTGTATTTTTTTGTAAACGAAAAAAAAGTCTAGGGACTCTCGTCATGTTACACAAAGGAAGTTGACAATAAGCTTTATAAATTCATTACAGTAATAAAATACAATTTTTTTAAATTTGCATTTAAATTTTCTACATTCCAGATATTTATAAAAACGGCTTATTCTGGTTTCATAACTTCATAACGAGCACTTTTTCTACGTAAGAAAAATCTTCACACTTTTTCATATTCCAATCTCTTCAATAAAATAAATAATTTGTAACTGTCAAAAGACTTACAGAACCACGAAATTTCAAGTTTTAAAGTATGCATAGTTGGATGTATGTATTTCTCAATATGTTTGCTCAGGTATCCACAAGCTTTCTATTTTTCTTGAAGATAGGTTTGAATTTCTGAAACCTATTTGACACAAGTTATAACACATTAATGCTCAATGTTAAGAATAATTTCTTGTATAAAAAAATGTAAGAAAATAAAAGTTGAAGTATGAACATTTAAAATTAAATTAAGTTATTAAAAGAAAAGATAAATCAATTTTAACTTAACACACCATATACAAACACGGTCATGATGAGAAACGCTAAAATATCGCCTTATAGAAATCTTCAAATGCTATCAAATATCAGAATGCATCCAGCAGACCAACAGCCTAACGATAGAACTACATGTTTAACTGTGTTTCTACAAGAGACCGCGTTAATGGAAGCGAGATCGAAGAAAAGACACGAGGGAACACTAGTTGCTTGTAATGCCGCACCTCCCGCCCTTTCTGTCGTCCTAGTAAAATGTTACGTCATTCTATTGTTCTAAGTCTCAACCCTTTCCTCCTACGAGCTAGAGACAGATTTGAACCACAATCAATCAATAAATAAATCCCTTTGCTTAAAGTTGATTTAGATTTAATTATTTTATTGCAGTGTTATCAGCGTTGCAATTCAAAGCACCATAAAGTGCAAAATTATGGAGCCCCAATAATTCAAACAACTAATAGTAAATTATTTTTATAATTTGTAATTTTATTTATTAATTTTCCTTATCTTAAGCGGATAGATCACGTTCCTTTTTATGAGTATTTTAGTTTCATGTGTCCAGCATCTATTGGACAACACCCTATATAATATTATACATAATGGTTTTGCCGTTCCGCACAATCAACACGGGTCAAATTTTGAAATTTTCTTTAAATGTGACACCGAAAACTGAAAATGTAGGTCAGCCAAGATTTACAGCAGCAGGCTGAAAATCGACGTCAACAACATAACAGGAAAACATGAGATACGAGACGTGAAAAGTAAACAACTGAGGGGGTAAATGGAAATTAACGGAGTTGTTTCTGCTAATCAAAATGTATTATTTTAATTGATTACGCTCGTAGATTTACAGTTTACACATTAAACTAAAGAATTTCAAAACTAAGTGAAAAAAAGATAAAATTATAACTGAAGTAATTTACTTAATTAAAAAAACTAAAAATCGTGTAGCAATACAAAAATAAACGTAGAGATATCTGTGCTTACTTCTAATGCGCATTTGAAAGCGAATTTTGTAGGGCAAAATCAATAATTATGTTTAGGTTGTTTGTGTCATCTTTTGTAGAAAAATGCGACTTCCTGTCCTAAATTACCTACCGATATTTATTCCAATGAAAAGAAGGTATAATAATTCTCCCTTTGCTATTGAACGAATCAGTCATTGTTTTAAATGTATAGAAATGTAAATACAAGGATTTCCTGTCAATGTTAGTTTTACTGTGCAAGAAAATGATTAAAGATGTTGCAGAATGATCTCTTTCTATTTTAAAAAGGAAATACCCACCATATGACAGAATTTTGATGCAATATGGACAAAATTAGTTGAATAAGGTGAAAACAGCAAGGAAAATCCTTGATCGGAGAAGCAAAACTGCCATGTCCTTTTAGTTAAGAACAACGAAATTGTTTGTTTTCTTTTATGGGAAGGCATAACCGCCAAGTTCATTTACTTGAGAGCGATGAAATTGTTGGAGAAGAAAATACTTGAAAAGTATAAAACAGTACGCCACAGAGCAGAAGAATATTTTTGTGTCTGGATGAGACGTTATGTAGCACCAGCAATGTGACAAGATGAAAATATTGATAGAGCTCGTCAACCTTTCATCGAAGGGGGCCCTAATTAAATGCCATCGGTAAAAGGAAGAGGCTAAGTTGTACACGTTGGAAGCGAATTTGGATTATGAAACTATTAAATTTAATGTAATAATAAATTTCGTTTACATTTTTTTACATTCCATACGCAAACCTTTCGTATATTTATACATATTATTTATATAATTAACCTAAAATTAAGTGGTCCTGCATTTGTAAAAAGGGTCAAATTTCACTGCCAAACTATTGAATTAGAATAAGTTGTTGACATTTATTACTTACTTATTTACTAATTTATTGTTATGGGTTATCTCAATTATGTTTCATGAAATTAAATATGCCGTCAACAAAATGATCATGGCCTGCTTGATTTTTGAGATACAGAGTGAAATCCAAAACAATTGATTTTAGGACCACTCTGGTATCTCCGTTGTCTTTTTAAGTTTTTGAAGCGTTTAAAAAATGTTTTTATATGATTTTCCCAAAATCCAAAAATGGATAGGTACCAACGGATTTGTAAGATGGATTATATGCAAATTAAAGTATATAAAACACGATACGAGTCTGTAGCAGAACTTTGAGGGACAAGATTTAACTTTAGAAACTCTACGAAGGTGGCCAATAATTTTTTTCAATACCTATTATAAAATTAGAAAAATGTGCGATTTTTGCATTCGAGAAAATGGTTTCCAATTTGAACAACAGTTTTAGGTATAATAAATATTACGTTACTATCCCTTAGATATAGTAAAAACAAAATAATAAAATTATTACAAATAGTAGTTCATAACGTATAAAACCGTTTTAAATAATTGAATTTTAAAGTATTAAGTTTCTTGTATGTTAATAATTGAATACTTGGATATTGTATTTAATAGATTAGTCATGGCCTACTACTACAAATTAAATAAAATTTGAAAAAAAAATTAGGGTAATTTTCAAAACAACTTTATACTAATATATATTCCTGAAAAGCTTAAATGATTTCCAATAAATGTAAACAATAATATATAGGGCGTTCCATTTAAAAAATACATAAATTTGCTTAAAAACTAAAAAATGGTTAGAGCAAGTAAAAAACAAACTACGCCACTGGATTCTACGAAAAAACTCCTACATAAGCATTTTTTAAACTCTTCAATCACTCGTAAGATAACGGAG